GTCTCCAAGCACAGAGGAAAAGGGTGGAAACAAGGTTATTTGCTAACTGGGTAACAGGAGACATACAAGGAAGGCACGTGGGCAGGGCAGGGCCGGGCAGGCTTCGAGAGGAGCCCCAGCCTCCAGCAGATACTCTGAGGCCCTTGCTGGGATCTCTTCTTCTCAGTGCATCGTTTTCTCTCTGCATCCCCTTTATTTATTTTTACATTTTTACTTATTTATCATGGTGGGGGTACATGAGCCACAGTGTGCTGGTGGAAGTCACAGGACAGTTTGTGGGCACTGGTTCTCTCCTTCCACCACAGGGGTTGTGGGAAATGAACTCAGGTCCTCAGGCTTGGCAGCAGGGGCCACTGAGCAATCTCCCTGAGTTTCCCTTCTATACTGCCCTGTCTTCTTCAGCCATGCCTGTTCCTTAGTCTTTCTTCCCTGCTTTATTTTTCTCTCCAGGATCTACCCTGCTCTGTGGACAACTCTTAATCGATTTTTATCTTCCTGCTTCCATGAGAGGTGAGACATTCCTGCTGTGATGGCAAGAATTCTTGTCTGTATTGTTCACTGCTGACCTCTGACCTCAGAACTGTAAGCTGACACACAGTAGGGCTCTGCCAATATTGGCAGTTCCTGAGCACATCAAAGGACAGCTGCCAGGGCTTGTTAATCACACCTTTATCAGGAGCCAAAGCTACCTTGCCTTTGAAGCTGGCTTACTGATTAGTCTTTCTCTGCCTTCTTGCTAGAATGAAGCTCCACCATACGAGGCTGTCTGTGGGCTCTGTGCTTGAAGCAGATCCTGGCATAGAACACAGATTCACTGCGTTCTAGGTAAGTGAGTCATCTCCCTCCCCATCCCTCTTCCCTTGTGTGGACCAGATGGCTTTTCCTGCCTTCTCCCCACAAACCCTCAAGACGACTCTGGGAGTCAGGTACTGCTCTCCTCATTTTAAAGGAGAGAGAACACACAGAGAAAGGCCTGCTGTGGGCGGGGCCAGTAATGAATCCCAGACCTCTTGATTTAAGCTTTGTGAGCTCCTCAGTGAGGCTTGGAGATGACTGACCCACACGCCCATCCTTGAGCCTCACTTCCTGTGACTTTTCTCTTGGTGAGACCCCTCCACAGATCAGGGCAGTCACCATGCTTCGGTCCCATAGGCTGCAGGGGTAGTTCTTGGACACCTCCAAGCTGCTTTCCATACTGCAGCTAGGGTGATGTTTTCAGATACTACATTTGATCCTCTTACCGTTACAAATCTCTAATGGCTTTTTACTGAAGCTGGTGCTTTGAAGTTAACTGGTACTTAGAAGAACAATGCTGGGGTGGGAAGGGGAGAAGTGACTCAGTAAGTAACGTGCTAAACAGGAAGATCCAGAGACTAGCTAAGAGAAATGGTGATGATGGTGGTGATAATGATAAGGGGAGGTTGAGGCAGACATCCAACATGGCTCTTTGGCTTCCACATGGGCACAAACACACACCTGCACAGTTGTAAAAAGATGGCAGTATCATCTTTATAGTGATACTGACCTGACTGACATTTCAGAAAAACATTTAAGTTGGAGCGGATCAGAACCTAGGGGGCTGTCCCAACAGATGCTCCTGGCCCTGCCCCCACTCTGCCAATGGGGACTCTCTAGGAATGGGGTCAGAAGATGCTCATTTTAACTCCACAAGCACCGCTGGCAGCCAGTGATTTAACACTTTTCATCTCTAGGGCACTTGGCAAATGTCTACAGGTCAGGTAGTACTATTTAAGCCATCAGCATCAAGACAAAAACTGGACCAGCCCTGCTTAACCACATGATTCGCAAATTAAACCTCCCTAACTCACGTTACAGGTTCCAAAAGTGCATGGAGCCTGGCTAAGTCCTGCCACGCCACATGAAGTGTGTGGTCAATGGGTTTACTTTGAGATGCACTCATCCCGAGGGTTATGCCATTTCTAAAAGACGAAACAAAAAACAAACAAACCCTATCCTGCCACAGCCATGCGATGATTTGAGAGAGGAAAAAAAAAATCAATAAATAAAAGACACAGACAGAGACACAGCCCATGCCTTGCCCCCGCATAGTGAGCTCTCAGCCTTCTGGTTAAGTCTTCTGCATTGTAAAATATCTGTTATCAGAGACAAGCTTTGCCAGAGGACACTCAGAGGCTCTCCAGCCAGCATCCCAAATTGCTCGTATTTTACCAGGTTCGAATCGCTGATCTGAGCTTCTCTTTGGACAAGAGGGTGCCATGTGACCCAGCATTAGCTCCCATCTCTCACAATTACAGGCAGAGACAAATATTTTAGCAATTAGTCATCTCTGAAGCCAGTTACTCCAAGTGGAAGGGCCCCGTGGCATGGAAAAACAACAGCACGAAGCTGGAGTGCTCAACCTTTATCCTTAGGATGCATGATATACACAGAAAATATATATCACAAATTTGATTTTATATAAAGATTGTGATTATATGTATGTAAAGACTCGAACTAATTTTTCCTTTTTATAACATATAAATAGCCCAGAAAAATATTTTCTTCCAAAAATATATAGAAAAACAAGCAAAAAAAAAAAACTGATAACAAAGGTCAAATGGTTTTAGAAACTACTTTGAAAAATGCAACTTAAATCTAGTGCTAAGGCAAGTATGGAATCTGAGTCATGTCATGAGGGTTAATATTTTTTTTTTTTTTTTTTTTGCAATTTCAGAAATGTCTTTTAAAAGTCCTGATATTTAGCTGCGATTACGTCCAAGGGCTTCTCTACGAGGGAAAATAAATATTCCATCTATACAACATGATACAGAGGATATTAATGTTTTAGAAATAGTAACTATATATTGCAATAGCCAGAAGAGCTGTGGGGAGAAAAAAATACTTGTAGTAAGAAACTACCAGAGAAGCAAGGTTTTCAGGATCTTTCACGGGCATTCCTCATACAAATCACCACTACAGGGGGCTTCCGAAGCTAAGACATAATTGGGCCTCTCATTATGAGAGATGAACAAAATAGTGACTGCCCAGTGGTACGATGACCCATGAAAGGGAAAGGAGGCGAGATTGTTGAGGCTAATTTGACGCACAGCCTCACAAGAGCTAATCACATACAGACACAGCGTGTGGAGGGTTCGGAACTTTTCCCGTTTGTCCAGCCTCTAGCTCGCTAGCTAGAAGGAATGGCATTGAAGGGGTGGTGGTTGCTATTCAGTTCCAAGAGAGATTCATAACTTCCTTGCATGTTCTTAGGCCTTCGACTCTACGACATGCCAAACTGCAGGCTGTTAGGCCACCCACCCAGAGCAGACGACACGCTACAGACCCCCAGCCACTACCGTGCCAGGTTCTTAAACACGTTAACAGAATCTGCCAAAACACAGGACAAAGACAACAGGATGAGGAGACAATTTAAAAATCCCCCTTGGTCAGACAACTCCCGAGGCTGCAAGACACACTCGGATGCCAATAAAACGCGAAGAGAATGGGTACCGATACTGATATGAAAACTCTGTTTTTAATTCGGTGTTTATTTGACAAATACCAAGTGCCTTTTCTCTCCTTCCTCTCTGGTCCTGCTCTCTGGGAAAACCACATCAGTATCAAATGCCACTTGGTTTTTACTCAAACAGGAGACAGCAGACTCGGCGGCTGCACGGTGACTTGGCTGACCTGCGCCTTCAGTAAAAACAAACCACTATAAATCACCAGATGTAAGCAATTGGAGAGTGATCATGTTAATTAATTGACCAGCTCTCCTGAAATTTACTATGTAACTTCAACCCTTCCAACACCTTTACCAGAAAAAAAAAAAAAAAAAAAAAAACGGAACAAGGGCGGCTTTTAATCAAGCTGTTTAGAGGACATGTTTTAACTTTAGAGACAAGTAAAATTTTAATTACTTAAGGTCAAGACGGGGAAATTGCTTGATTTTAGAAATTACACCCGGAACATACGAGATGCTACTTTTAAAAGCTGCAAAGACAAGGTGGTTCCCAAAGCTGACCTCAGTAATGAATATAATAAACATGTAATCTGTTCTGAAAATACAGAAAATTCAACACAATTTTAGTTGTATGTAAAAACTTGGCAAACATTTTCAGTTGGGGTTTCTAATCTTGATTCCCACACCGGGAGCCATACTTATAAAAGGTGATGCAAAATGACTCATGGATTAAGAGCAGATTCTGCTCTTGAGAGGACCCTAGTTCAGTTCCCAGCTGCCACATCCAACAGCTGGACTCCAAGGGTACCTGCACTCACTCACATGCACACAAATCCACATACACACACAACTCAAAATAAAGACGATACCACCATGGCATACTACCAATTTCCATTATCCTCACAGGAAGTCTGGGGCATTATCTACAAACATTATGTAATACAACATCCAGTTCCCATTACAACTACTGGGCAACACCATAATTTAAATTCTAATCTACAAAACATAACCAAAACTCAAGGCAGCTTCTTTTGAATCCTGGAAGTCAAGTTAGCAAAGCTAGTAAAGTGTGTTTTTGTAAAGATGCTTGAGAGGGTAGTAGGTCAATGGGTTGCCTAGCAACCAAAAAGCTCTGGGTTACACTCGTCCCACCTTCCCTCCACCCTAGCACCAAAATAAATAAACAAACAAACAAACAAATAAATCCTTGCAATTTAGAAGTGGAAACAAGTTAGTTTAAATAGGCCTTCCTTATTATGCCCTCGAAAGGGTAGTTAGTCTGCTTATAAGAGCTACATGTTAGTCCATAGAAATCAGTGGTTCAACCTTCCCGAAGCTACAACCCTTTAATACAGAGTTCCTCATGTTGTGTTAACCCCAACCATGAAATTATTTGATTGCTAATTCACAATTGTAATTTTGCTACTGTTATGAATCATAATGCAAACATCTGATATGCAAGAGATCTGATATACAACACCCAGAGGGGTTGTGACCAACCGGCTGAGAACCGCTGATACAGGTAGTACCCGCTGCTCTTACAAACATCCACGGGGATGAGCGGAGAGTCACTTACAAGGAGAGCTGTCTAATATTTGCTGAGACTGGTCCCAGGCTTGGAATGGTCTCCAGTTCATTGTTATTCAGCTTCCTAAGAATGCCAAAAGGACAGAAAAGGCTAATTAGGCCGTATAAAATCCAAAGATGGGAAAACACTATGCATTACTTAAAGGCATTGCCCGAGCTAAAAGTTAACAGCTCGAAGGAAGGTCTTATCATCCAAAGAAAGGTTCATCCCTTGAAATGGTCTGGGGTGGGGGGAAGAAGGGGGGCATCTTTTGCAGCCCTCTTATAGGAAGTAACAGGGACTCACACTTCTCGGAGGTTTTGGAGGTGGCTCAGGGAACTTGTCTGGATAGAAGATAATCTGTTGTGACTCAGATCCCTGTAAGAAAACAAAAGTAATATTACAAGCAATTTCTTAAAAAGTTACTAGTATCACTTAACGACCTACTAGCAGAGCGGGTTTTTGAATTCTCTCTCTCTCTCTCTCTCTCTCTCTCTCTCTCTCTTCATACCAGTGACAAGAAGAGAAATAATTGGACCCCTATGTCCACGAATTAAATGGCAGCCAAATGCCAAGCTCAGAACGACAAACTCTGAGGACAAATTTCGTTTAAGAGGCTGGCGGATTCAAATACTTGAAGCCCACAAGCATTTTAAGAGCTGTTTTTTGGCACATGGTGAACAGACCTTTCATGAACCTTAGCTTGCTTCTATCTCCCCACCCTCGACTTGATACAATGACATCATAGACTATGAAAAGTGGCTTAATTAGGCAGGTTACTGAAACAAGGACTCTGAAGAAACAATTTAACTATCAAAATATTAAGTACCATGTCCTTACTGCAGCCAAAGGAACAGAGGTTGACGCCCATGGGGAGTTAGCTGTTTTAGTTGTTTCTCTGCCTTAAGGGACTAGATTACTAGTACAGGGTATGTTCACGTGTGTGTGTAAGTGCACACGCCCTGAATGTACATGCTCAAAAGGATACATTTAAGAACTCTTTGAATTTCAATATCGGATCCCATAGTACACAATTTAAACCACAACAACCATCTAATAACGCAGGGCAGGTGGTACAGCGTTTTAGTCACTGAAAGAAACATGCTTCTCCTTCAAAGGCCCAGGCAAATTTAGTAACAATTCCCATAGGCATCAAAATACCGAAAGTCACTAACGCCTAACCCATACAGGGCTCTGGGTTAGGAAGTTTACCCAGCATCAAGATTCAGGGGGCGGGAGTAACAAAATCCAACAAATGTTTCAACATCCCATCTACATTCCTCCAAAGCGGTACAATGAAGATGAAATGGGGGGAACAATCACTGGTAATGAGGTTCACGTGCAATGCGGTTGGAAGCTCCCCTCTGGAAGAGACTGGCCTGATCCGAAGTTAATTCCTCGGTGTTTAAAATGAAGGCGTTTAAATAACCAGAGTTTTAGATAAGTAAAGTTAGCTGCTGACAAGCATGAACCACACTACCTACCTCAGACTGTCCTCCCACAGACAACAGAAACACAGAAATCACTCAGTGAAAGGGTGTCGCTGCTTGCTTAGGCGAGAACTCGAAATCAAGGACCCTGTCATTTTCCACGCTTTTCGTTTTGAGAGTGAGCCCTGATTTTTGTGTTTCGCCTTAAACCAAAATGAAAAGGAACTTGCAAGGATTTTATTCAAGCTCTGTTTGCCTAGAGACCGACCAGACAGAAAGAGACATGCGTAGATTGGTTCTGGAGGAGTTATAACATGAGGGGGGGGGGGGGATCTGGCTCCGTTTTAAACTATAAAAATCCTGCAATTACAGCCACTGCTGTGCATGTTCACCACGCTGGCTGCAGCCAGACACTTTCCCCTCGCAGCCCAGCCAGCCCAAGTCCATCTGGAGTTCATCAAGGAAGCCGTGAGCCCAACAACTCACGTTGGCGGCCAAACAAAACCTGTGTGCCTTTAGCACCCCCAGACAGTCACAGACTGCCCACATGGTTTAAAACAGGACCAAGAAAAGAGTCTCCCACCTGGGACGTGAGCCTCGCTCCGCAGACAGTCATTTGGACCTACTTAACTCAAGAATGCTGAGCCTGCCCCCACCCCACCATTGTTTCCTGGGTTTGAAGGCATGGGGGGGGGGGGCAATCTGGTATTTACATTTCAGACAGTTGGTTTTCTTTTCAATTAAAAGAAAAGAAAAGCTCATTGTAAGGATTATTTCACAGGGAATCCTGGGAGGAAGGAGATTTGAGCACTGAAGGTTTTCCTCCAGTAATAGGGTCAGACCCCAGCCCCCAACAAGAGATCTTCAAACCGGGGAACCAGCCTGCAGCCCAGTGCACTTTCTGGGGATGCTGGTTTCATGTCCGTCCGGCAGCAGGAGCTGGCAGTCATACATATTTCAGTTATTGCAAACGCTTCCATCCTGAGCTCTGTATATGATTAAAACTACACTAAATGTGGGAGAAGAAAAGAAAAGAAATTCTTAAGTGACTTTTACTGCTAAATACTTAAGGCCATGGAACTTTTAATTTACCTAGATTTAGATTTTAAAGCAATATACATTTCAGAAGTAATTGTTCTCTCTTTCCTACATGCCACATTTCCTACATCTTCCCTATATTATTTTTATGGATGGAACACTGAGAGACTCCGGACATAAAATGTCAGTGTTTTCTTGAACCCAGGACAGAACCCATTCCATAGCAGGGCAGATTCAATGTTGTGTGAAGCTCCATGAAAGAACACTGTCCCTGGCGAACTTGACTTTTTACGAGATTTGCTGTGATGAGGCCAAGGTATGGGTGGCGAGGCATTAACTGTTTACCCAGAAAGCCACTGGGCAAAGCCTTGGGAAAGTCAAACCCTGTGTATGGCAGCTGCTCTTAGTCTCAGCCAGTGAGCGAGCATATGTGAAAATTATTAATTTTACGACATTCGGTTCCAGCTATCATACTGCTTTTGGAAATCTGTCTTCCAACTCAAATTTGAAAATGCAAAGACAGAGGAGCTGGAGCTTCTTAACCCCACAGAGGCCTGCCCAGGCTGCTAACTCAGCAGAAACATGGAGAGCCGAAAAACACAAAGGCAGGCTGTAGCTGTTTTAAAACACTGGTCCAAAGCGACTCATAAATCAGCCTGCTATGCTCGAGGTTTGGTCTGGAAAATATAGAAGAACAGCTGTGGGAACCTTAAGGACTAGGACTCCCTCCCCACCCCCCAGCTGGAGTCAGTTCCAGAAGATTCGAAACAGGCCAACACCAAAGAAGTCACGCCAGCACAAGCTACCTTTCGGACTTTCGCCTCAGCCCTGTGAAGAGCTCAAACATTTCCACGTGATAAGATACATCATCTGAAATTCCAGCTAGTATCTAATAACACTTGAGGTTCCAGTTGGCAATCAAACAATTTCCCCCCTTTGGCTAACTAATGCGTTTTAACAAGCCCTCCTCTTTGGGTTCAGAGCTCTGGAAGCTCAAAGATTTTTGAGCGAGGCTCCAAGCAGTTACGTTTTTTTAAGAGCTACTTTCATTAAAGAACTGCAGGTTTGTTCTAAAAGCCGGAGTGAGTACAGTGTTATTATTGTGTAGCTCCAACTCTTCAGCCCTTCCACACACACAAGGCACTCCTGTGTCAATAAATGACAACTGAATAAAGTGAGAAACACATGCGCGCACACACGCACGCGCACACACACACACACAGCACAGATGTTCATAAGCTGCAAACTCAACAAAGGAAACAAAGAGCAGGCAGCATTCCTGAACTTTCTCATAAACTATTCCAAAGACAAACTTCTGCTCTTTGAATTTCCCGAGGAAAAAGGAGAGCTGTGCTAACAATACACATTCTCTCCTCGCGCCCTGGTCTTGGAAGCCTTCTCCTTAAGAGCTTTTGTAATTAAGTAAGGTTTAACTAGCAGCAGCTTACACTGCCTATTGCAATACACCAAATAACAGGGGGGGAGAACTCAATTGCATGTTGCTTTCTGATCTTCTTTGAGGCGAAGAACAGACCTTTAGGGCTGTGAACACAAACAAAAGAAACACTGGCAATAAAGAACTTAAGACCACATGGTTTGGTGACACCTACAAAGATGGTCAGAAGTCACCCAAGTACAAGAATGGGAAGGCCGGTCGAGATCAGGGCCCCTGACAGGAAACCAAGTGCTTATTTATACAAGTGGAATGTATTTTCACGTACATTTAAGGAATGTGGACTTGTATTGAGACAATTTACTACTGGCGGAAATGTAATTAAAGACTGTGCTAACCAAATAAACTGTAATTTGTTTTTAGTGTGCCACCAAATTATCTGCAAAACAAAATCCTAATTAGGTCAACTCCCTTTAAGAACGTTTAAATAGGTATTGAATCCCCCTTTGCGATTCAACTCAACTTCCAATCCAGGTCCGCACGGTTTTCTGAAATGCATCTAAGTTTCCAAAGCACAATACCGTGTACTGACAGCATTTAATGGGCCACCTGTCATTGAGAAACTACCGGATAAAGTTAGACTTAGTAAGCGTGTCCAAAGGCAGTCCAGGGGAGCCCCGTTTTAGCTTTCTCTCTCATTCCTCTGTTATCCATAGGTGTTTACCCGCAGGCACTCACGTGTTCAATTCCATATGTCCTCAATCGGGCCATTCTGCTCGCAGGAACCCAGCAGCGCGACCTCCCCCCTCCCACCCCCAAGAGGCAATTGAATGGAATTAGCCACAACTAATTGAAAGTCTTCCTGCTTTAGGCTCAAGCCTTTATCTCCCCTTTCACGAGTAATAAAAGCTGCTACATCAGACATTCCATAATCAGCCATTAAATATCAATCCAATTCTCGTTAATTCTATTTCCTTATTAAACTGCTTTTTAAAGCAGGCATTTTGTTTGATGGTCAACAGTTTATAACTGATGGAAGGATTTAGGCTGGCACGCTGCTTCAAAAACACAAAGCTGCGGCCACTATTGTCAAGAAAGACCGACTATGATTGTTAAAGTGCTGAGAATTTCCACCAGGCCTACATTTAAGAATCTTAAGTATGAAGTGCAATTTGATTTTTTTAAAAAAGCAGGACAACTATTTTAACTATTTTTAATATAACATACAACTTTTTTATCTTTATTTATATTTATTTATTTTGCTTATGGCTTAAACACCCCCCTCCAATTTAAGAAAATTAGAGGTTAGGAGAGAAAAAAAGAGTTGACATTTGTTAAGAACTCGCATTTTCAAGTAAATAATATTTTCTTCCGTGTTCTTCCAAACAGTTGACAGTGACCTCTCTCAGCTTAAAATTCGCCAAACAGCACTCGGCGCTGGCCCTCAACCTTCCTCGAACTGCTGCAGAAGAAGGTGTCGGTTCTGAAAACCTACTTCCTCCCTTTGGTCATCGACAGATCAGAATTCGCACCCAACTTCTCACCGGAACCAACATACTTTACAAAGTGGCCCAGGAGGGAGGCCGATGGTCTGCCAGTGTGAAATTACGCACTGAAGAGGGAAGAAAGAGGGAAGAGAGTGCACCAACAAGAGCTTGAGGCGCGGGGTTCTGTGAGAAAAGCGCATACATATGGAGCAACTGGGGACAGGCAGGGACTCTAAACCACTGAGAAGCTAAGGTTGGGCCGGTTTCCCACATAATCAACTCAGAAGAAAACATGTAAAATCCGGGGGTCTCGCAGACTGGCTCCCGCGACCGCGGGCGTTCGGTACACTCGCACCCACCTGCGCGGACGCAGAGGGAGACTTAAGTTCCCCACAGGGTTCCATTTGCGGCCTGGGCGCACACAGTGCACACTGCACCCTGATATCCAGGCCTTGATAGACTCCACTCGTCCCGCACCTTTAGGCCGGACCATCCCCTCCAACCCCCGGGAATGATACTGATACTCACAGCCGGACGACCCAGGCAGGGAGAGGATCAGGAAGGCGAACCAGCCGCCGGCGGCTGCAGTCTAGCAGGTCCCCGAGGCAGTGGCAGACGGCTGGGCACGGACGCCCAGCAGCATCTTCCGAGGGCCGCCCCGGCTCTCTGTGGCCTCCGCTCCCCGCAGGGCCCGCGCGTCCCAGCCCGGCGCAAAGCAGCAGTCCCAGCGCCGCCGCGGCCGCTCGGAGCCTGGGAGCACCCATCGTCGCGCACTCCGCCGCCTCCGGTCGGCCCGGAGCTCCGTAGCCTCGTGCCAACTCCTACCCCCACTCCCCGACGAGCACCGACTCCCTGACCGGGCTGGACACCCCGATCGCCGCCTCGTGCTCCTCGCAGCTCAGGGTCGGCACCCAAGGCCTCGCATGCCCGCGCGCAGCGGGAGACCAGCAGCGAAGGACGGCCAGTCGCGGTGCAAACAGCCCGAGCGGCGACCGAGAGCTCAACCGTCTGCAGAGAAACTTTTCCGCCTGCGGCGGGCGGCGGGGCGCGAAGTCCCGGCGCGGCTGAGCTGGGAGGCGGGGCGCGGAGGCGGGCGGGCGCTCGCCCATTGGCCCGCCTGGAGCCCGCGGCCACGTGACAATAACAAGGCTCCAACCCCTGGGGCCTGCGTCCAGGAGAAAGTAGAGCTGAGATTGTAGGAAATTCCGAGTTACATTTTCCAGCGTCTGCAGCCAGAAGTCTCCGCTATGTCCTGGGAACCATAGATCAGATGGAATGGAAGGGCAAAAACGAGCCAGCGGAGGACTGAGCCCGCTGCTGTTCAGAGGTGGAGTTAACTTGAAGAAACTTTAGGGAGTACTGTCAAAGTAGTTTTGGTGTGAGGGAGCTTTTTAGTTCCAAGCGGATCAAACAGAGGCTTTGATGAAAAAAACAGTTTTAGTATTGATGTCAGTGGAATCTTTTTATGCCCCCAAATCGGATACATACACACACACACACACACACACACACACACACAACCGGGCAGCCCAGTCCTGGAAGACAAAGGCAGAAGGATTTGTGAGTTCCAGGCCAGCCAGGACAACATAGTGAGACTCCATTTCAAATGTATGTATGTATGCATGCATGCATGTATGTTTGTGTGTATGTATGCATGCATGTATACACAGACAGACAAGACACAATATGATTTTGAACCTGATAGTTTGGTTAACAGTGGATGGAACTGGGTGGAAATGACCCTTTAATAAACTCAAGTTGGCAATCAGGTTTCCACCAATAGCTAAGAGCAGTAATCTACACTAAGACCTTGAAAGAAAAAAAAATATACCTTGGTCAACCTGGCTTTTGGGTGATGACATATCTTGACTGAAAAGGTTATCAGAATTAAACATACTTGCCATCTGTGGAGTATACTGAGGGAGGAGATAGGATCAAACTACAAGACTTCTGAGTGAAGTTTGTCTGGGCACTCCTACAGGTAACCTGGGCAGCAAGGTGTTGAAGTGATGGAGACCACAGAGATGCTCTGCTATCCCCTCATTGGGGACAGTGGCAGGTCCTAAAGCGATACCTCATAGGTTGTGGAGTGGCTCGACCTAATTTTAAGGCTCAGTTTCTGTAAGCTGAGTGTTGCATGGTCTCTGCCCACGCATGTCTGTGGCTGACACGGTTTCACATGCTGGTTGATGTGGAAAGGAATAGCTGGTGGGACTGAGACTTTAACCCCATGCCCATTGACGTTCACTGTAGCCGATCACTTCTGTGAGCATTGCCATACTTGGGGACATGGAAGACTGGAGTTGGCACATCCTATTTTAAGTAAATGTCCCCTCCCCTTCTTTCTACCTGCCTGTAACTGTCACATCTTAGAATGACGGACAAGCAATAATTATAATTATAGGGTCTCTGCTTAGAATTGTGTTCACTGCAGTTGGGCTATGGATTTTTCCTGGCTAGTGTTGCTTGAGAAATTTCTCAAACCAAGTGAGATCTCAGTACACACATGCCCGTTATGTGATGTGAGTGCCTTGGCTTGCTCCTGCGATATCAGGGACAATCAGAAGTCTGTCACCATTTTGGCAATGGGGCTCGCTTTTCCTGTGTACCCTCAATTTCACTTTCTTCATGAATTAAATTTGCACTTCTGTGCTTTTATTGATATCTCACCCTGGTTGCCGGTCCAGAACTTCCTCCTAAATAATACACACACACAACACACACACACACACACACACACACACACACACGCACACACATGCGCACCACACGTGCGCACTTTTACTAGCCACCTACAGGTCACCTCACATTGGGTATTCAGATGTGACATGTCTAGAGTCATGTTTCAGCAGCTCTGAATGTCACTCATTTTCTTCCTGCGTCCACTGTCTCCAACAAAGGTGCTTCCCCCACATCCGGGTCCTAAATAGCCACCCTTCATCCTCAGCACCACCTCCATAGCCAAGCAGCATGTTCTGAAGCCAACCAGGAAATACCTTGTCTCCATCTTGCAAACTCGGGCCCCATGGGCTCTGGCTTAGATCAGGGACCACACCCCCTTCCTATCTGGCACTCCCGTTCTTTCCTCACAATGCAAAGACAACTCAAATCAAGGCCTACGCCTACGATTCCAAGGCCCGATTGCTTCCTTGGGTTCCATTGTCTTCAAAGTAAAGTTTGAAATTCTTCGAGTGACCTATACAGTTTGTCTTTGTGTTTGGTCTCTGATGACCTCTTTAGTTGACTATCATCCCCCAACCCACCAACTCTCCCTGTTCACTGCAAAGCTCTTTCGACCTGACACTTCATCGTTGTCCAGATCACTCAGTTCCTCCTCAGCCTGTCCTTTTGCACATCTGCTTGGGCATCTGTCCTAAACAGGCTTCCATTAGCTCTGCTGGACTTCCCCACCCCCACCATGTTCTCCCAATCAGCTACCTAGGAATACAATCAAAGCTTTTTGTTTCTTTTCTTTTTCTTTTTTCTTTTCATCAGGCTTCCCTCTATCAGCTCCTTGGAAAAGTCCCTATTGCCCTCTGTCCTCTCCATAGTACCTACTGGCTGTGGCCTAGGCCTCTGCTGAAGACCACCAGCTCCTCCCTCTTTTGTCTGTGTGCCCCTGACAGTTAGTGGCTAGCTGATCCTCCGTCGGGTCCAGACTGGTTTGTATTTATGATTACACAATTAAATTAAGCTATGAGTTACCCAAATAAATACGAGCAGAACCAGAAGAAACACACTCATGTTTGTGATAATGAATTGGGAGGGTGGGAAATATACTTGAAGGATAACCACTAAAGTAATGTCGTCAAATTAGATTAGAAAAAAATAAACAATTGTCAAAATGCAAAGGAGGTTCTTAGTTTGTTTTATGCTCCTGTAACAGAACACTGGGAAATGTTTAACAAGTCCAAGACTCGGGGTCCTCATCTAGGGAGGGCCGCCCTGTTTACCATCCCATGGCAGAAGACATGCAGGAGAGGAAGACAGGGAGGGAGAGAGGAAGAAAGGATGAGGAAAAACCAGTGTTTACCTCTTTTTTGGAAACCTGCTGCGGCCAGAATGGCATTCGTCCAGTCATGAAGCCAGAGCTCTCAAAATACCCTCTAAGTCAACAACATTGCATTGGGGTCGCATCTGCAGGACGCAAAAGGGACGGACACGGTCTCCCAATGGGAAGGGAGATTCTGAATCTCTAGGGAAAGCCATCACACAGATTGCTTCACAGGCCTATATAGGATCCGGCTGTGGTTTAGCGTGGTCGCTGGGGACCCAGCAGCAGCAGCAGCAGAGAAAAACACTTTATGGGTATGGTTTGCCCTTGCACTGAAGGTCACATGACAACTGGGGGTGGAAGATGCGGCCTGGAAAGGATCTGGGGTGTTGCCTATCTCTATACATCCTTTGATCATTCAGTCAGTAGAAAGGGCGGCTCTCCTATATAGACAGGTAAAGCAAGGCATCTCTTTTTACTGATTCTTCAAGGTCTCCATCAAGTAAAGGCCAGAGAGAAGTTTTTAAGTGGGTAGGTATCTATCTAGGGTGACAGAGGGAGCCAAAAAAATGATTTGAGGGTCCCCACAGCTCTCTATGGATCCCTTTGTATTCCGCAGGAAATAAAACTGAAAGTGAAGTCCCTGGGGAATAGATGAAGAAAAGCACCATGCATGTTTGCTGATGTCAATGTTGAGAACATTTATCCCTAACGTGACAGGATTGGGAGGGAACCCTCAAGAGCAACTATGTCACAGAAGCTTGGCTCTGCTTTTCTGGGGGGGTGGGGGTTTGTGCTGCCGTGCCAGTGGGAGCAAGTCTGCTACTCTGACAGTGGACTGTGGGTGAAGTTGAGTTTGGCCTCTTCTCCCCCTCCTCCTCTCCCATGCCTTTGCTCTTCCCACTCTGCCTTTACTAGGGGGTGCTACAACAGGAAGTCACTCCCCAGGTGTGGGTGCCTTGAGCTTGGACTTTGCCCCTTCAACAACTGTAAGAAATACATCTTTGTTCTTTATAAATTACAAAGTCTTGGGGATTCTGTTACAGTGGCACAAAAGTGAACTAAGAATTCTGGTGATTTCCCCAAATTAACAACTGAAACTCCTGAGAGAAGCTCCGTGGATTGCCGGTCCGCCCTGGTTAATGGTCCCTAAGGTACACACCAGTTTCTCATTTATAATCTCCTCCTCCCCACCCCCAGGAACCAAAAGTCCTATTTCCCAAAGTGCCTACTACTGACTATTTTGTGGTCAGTATGTCCCAGACCCAATGGGTTGGGATTTTTGTTGGTTTGATTGGTTTTTCTTTTGCCTCTGACAAGCATGTGACTTGGTTTGCTTGTTATACACTAAGGCAGGCGCTCTTTTTCTCTCCCTCTCTCTCCCCCGCTGAACAAGTGAGAGACTTTCTTATCTTGAGTGCTGACAAGGCCAATGACTCAGAGATAAGAAGTAATCGAGGTGCTAGATTGTCAGTTTTAGCACCCAAGGACTGGCATGGAGCTGGGCTACACAGCCTTCACCTTATCGGCACAATGAATGACATGGTTTGTGGACCTGTTTTAACTGTGAAAAGGGGGAAAGATAAAAGTGTAAAAGTCCCCACTAGTGTCGCCAGGAGGAAGTGCCCCTGTGCTCAGTAACCTCCCCAGGCTCCCCTCACGCCTGCACTCACAAAATGCAGTTTCAAATACAAAGTACCCTCTTCCTCTCCAAAGATCAGCGATGGGGAGCTGGCTACCCACCTGTTTCTCTCAAGTCGGCAGACTGTGTGGTGTTTGAATTAAAAGTAAATGCTGTTATCTGAACATGGACTTAGCTACAAATTAAATATAGTTTGCTTTACATTTCGTTTACTTATCAAATCACCCTCTAAGAAGAATGGTGTGCTTGGAAACTCAGACTGTGGGTAAAAGTGGATACCCAGAAAATCAACTGGGCACCACCATCCCTGGGATCTTGGTTGTAAGAAGAGGGAACTGGAAAACTAGGCCAAGGCAGAGGGCCCATCGTACTCACCAGACTCCCTTGGTGCAGCTTCCTTCCCAGCAAGG